TTTCTAAACTGATCTAGGTTTCTATCCTCGGACTTTTAATGCAATCCGTTATGTAAGAAAAACTTTTTGAATCTCACTTGGTTGGGATATGCTTTCAAAACGTGATCGAAAATGGTTGTGGTATTCGTAAACAACATTTGTAAACATATCAGTGACAGCTAGAAATAATAATCTTGACCAGAACAGCTGTTCGTTATTTCATAGATGATTATGTGATACAAATTGGACGAAAACTTGACAAAAATCGCACAAAACTGCATTTTTGAACGGCCGTAATTTTAATTACAAAGTAGTGAGACCATATTTTAATGGCTAAAGACACTCCCGCCAATCCAGTGAAAAAATTAAAATGACTTGGATCTTGATAGGAACTCTCGTTTTCCTGGGGAAGATAGCGTAAAATGCCATCTTGAGTGTTACAGACAGACAGAAAGTAAGACAGACAGACAAACAGAAATAGAGATAAGACTCGTTTCTGATTCTTTAATGTATAAAACGTAAAAATAGCCTAAAAATATATAATTCTGAGCAATGTACAGACAAAACTCAAATTTTATTTTATTTAGAAGAAGATAATACCATAGACTAACCAACACATAATACGGACCAACTGTGATATCGTTTGAATTCTAATATAACTTTAAACACTAAACACTTTGGTTTATCATAGGCCTACTAATGATGACTACTTTTGATGAATGGCTGAAGACAATTTTAAGGTTATGTAGAAGGTGTTTTCTTTCCATTATTTATATATTGTTTTAATCAGTTCAAATCTAATGCGATGCACTCTGTCGCTTACTATCTAGCATTTATTACCGATAAAACCAATTTATTTAAGGGCGCTTGTGAGTATTACCGTGCATATGCAAAGTTTTACATATAGTCTTTGGATTCTGGAGCCCTAAAACACTTAATATATAGTAGTACTGAACCTATGTGCAACAATGAGGAATGTAGTAAAAACTAATTCACGAATGGGAAATAGAATTAAACAATTTAGAAAAACATAATAGGTTTTAGTTGGTGGAAGACAGATCTAATAATCAGTAAAACATCTTTTAAATTAAAGGTTTAGAGATCAAAACAATAAAGCTTAAGATTTTTTCAATATCATTGGCAAAAGAAATTTGTTCCTGATTCTTTGACACAGAGGGTCTCATTTGTGGGGCTTATTGGTTCAGATACGAATCCTCTTTTGTGATTTTGTTTGACTCAAAGATTTAGTTTATTGAAGTTTACAAGACTGTTGTTCTGAAAAATTGTGTTATGAGCGAGGGTTGTATTAACTATCTCAATGTCAAATGGAAATCAACTGACCAATTCATCTTTATGATTCTTCCTACATGTAGTTTTCTGCTTTCTCTTCTCCATGTAAATCATAAGGTTTGGTCTTTTATACCGGTTCACGTAAGGTCTGGTCACGTATTGTTCAAAAAAGGTGGGGACATAATTTACGTACTGATTCATTGTGCCAAAATTAAGAGAAAATCAAGTATAATTTTTTTTTTTTTATCGCTTTATTAAATAGTAGCCATTTATGTTAGAAAAAAATAATCTTGATTCAACTTAAATTTTCAAAAATGGCGGCCAATTTAATTTCTTTAGCTTAAATTACTCGAAAATGGCAGATTTTATGAAAAAAGGTCTCGTACACTTTTATTTAGCATTTTTAATTTCCTATCAAACAATACCAAGGTCGAAAAGATCGAATAAGAAATACTGTAGCTGAAATATTAGCATTTTCGATCTTGGTATTGTTTGATAGGGAATTAAAAATGCTAAATAAAAGTGTACATGACATTTCTTTCATAAAATAAGCCATTTTTGAGTAATTTAAGTTTTAAAAATTAAATGGCCGCCATTTTGAAATTTTAAGTAAAATCAAGATAATTTTTTTCTAACATGGATCTCTTCTACCTTAACATACATACAAAGTTTCATAAAGATCGATTAAAAAAATTCAAAGATAAAAATTTTAATGTAAAAAATACAAAATTGCGGATATCTGGTCGGAAAATGAGCAAGGGTTGACAGGACACTTTTTGCCCGTGTTTGATGTTTTTTGTCATGTATTGCATCATTAATTAACAAACCAAGCTAAGAAACAAAAATATTTTTCATTTAAAGATAAACCTCTCAAAACGACATCTACCTTGTTTTCAATTCTTCTAATGGAAATAAGCAGCTGTGATTCAATAATTTCATATTTTACAATAGTCAAAAAACATAAACGAGAGATGGTGTTTTTGGCCTCTGGGGACCTCAAAACGAAAAAGTAAATGAGTCCTGGGCCCAGGTCTTACCATGAGACCTACGGTAATAGTTTATTCCTTATATAGGAAATACGCTAAAACAGATCAGATTTGACGATAAGATTAGGAGTCTATGTGCACCGTTTTATGTTAATGGTATTTTAATGCTATAGTACAAAATATGGTAATTTCAAAAATGAAAACCCAGCTTAAAATCACCCCTATGCCCCTATTGACGTGCTATTTGATATGTCTTTGGCTTCTGCATGCAGATCATGACTCAGCATCACAATGCAATGTTATCAAGCTTCCAAGCAAGTAGGTCCAGGCACATCAGTTATGCAGGTCAAAGGGCAGCCTAATCGACTGTAGAAGGGATACATCACTCATTGTGCGTCTGCTGATAACTTACGATCCCTTACCTTTAGTCGCTATACAAGTTTGGCTGTTGATTCCTCGATCAGCACTTAAGCAGCCTTGCCACATTTTTTGGAGGGATTAGCACCGGCTCAAGTGTAAAATTGCATAAAAATATAAGATAATGTGTATAAGCATTATGCTATTGATAGTTTTATGTATTTCAAAACTATCTATTGATTAGATTTATATGACCCACCAAGGGCAAAGGTGTTGAATGAATGAGACCACAGCTCTGCTCCTAAGGGCCCTTTCACACGAGGATACTGGTGGCGGCCACCGGTGTCCGTCGCAGGTTGCTCGCTACTACTTTAACATTGTTTTAAATGGGGGCTTTCAGGAGCAGCCACTGCAGTAACCGGTAACTGGTAGCAGCCATCAGTGGCCTTGTGACGCGTGAAAGGGCCCTAAGAATATGTGTTCTTTGCCCTGCACCATTTACTTAAAGCCCAATTATTAAGGACGTTGGGTCCTGTTTCAAACTATCAAAAAGCTTAGAAACTGCAAAACATTTTTTTTACTTTTGATTTAGTTTGGAAAATTTGTTAAATAATGAGCTAAAGCAAATTACTCTGATACCACCCTACCGAAAAAAATATTCCCAATTTACGATTGCAAACCCATTCAGTTATATTCCAAAGGGGAATTTCTCTAGAAAATTTGTCAATGGATTGGCAAAAATGTTTTGCAATAAATAGAAGTGATAAGAAAAGACGATAAAGCTAATCACAAAAAGTGCTAAGTCCAAGCCCCTGAGAAGTAATACCCAAGAGGAAGGCAATTGGCTGTAAAACAACATGACCCGTTTACGATGGTACTTTTTTGTATCAACACTAAAGGAGGAAACAGGGATAAAGCTTTTATCTCTAACAGTCATGAAACTTCTTCTGGCATCAAGGAGATGATTATCGTGTTATCTTTGATGAAATCGGGTGTTTTGTTATTTAATTATTATAAATGTAAGCTCTATGTACATTTTATATTCATTAAAATGTAGAATACATTACAGTGTCAGAAGTATACATTATATAATAAATACATGATTATTATCCCTCAAGAGTTTCTTCACCGTAGTTATTCACAAGAAGTTCCACGTGAGAGATGTCATGTAGAAAATATAACACAAAATTGTTACAGAGACATAGGCTACATTAAACATGAAAATGGTATGTTTACTACCATTGACTTTTGGATAGTCAAAGACTGTTCGGTGAATAATTTTATTTACGATAGATTCCCAAGATGTACTCGCCTGTGGATTTTGCAACTACAGTACCTATGTTGACTGTTAACATTTTCATAATTATTTTCCATTATTACAGCTCTGACGAGCCAAACACAACATTTCAAATATTTGGTTTAACTCTTTTATTATAATAAAATTGGAACAAAACCGCGAAAGACTAATATTTCAATGGCTTCTCTACCATCTCAAAAACAGATATTGTATTATTCAACAAGTTTAATGCTTCTAGATTCAAACCCTAGGAGGGCTATTAACGTCAAAAACAGACTGCTAATATAAACGCTTATTCTAATTCTCAACTTTAGCTTAATTGATTAAAAGAGGGCGAGTTAAATGACTGGGATAAGCAGCCAAGGCAACGTCAGTTTCCTTGCTGCATAAAACTCGCCTTTCACAAATTTAATTGCTGTGTCGGTGCCTCCATGAATACTATCTTCTCATTTAATTACGGAGCTGTTCATTTGAGTGTTAACAAATTAAAGCAATTGTGTTTTATTTTAGCTTATTACAAAATTAGAACATTCTAAACATTTTTTTTTTAATGGAGTGTGTTTTGAAATTTTTTTACTTTCATGGCTTTTAAGCTGAATTTGTGTTTTTTTTTTATTGATATGTCAATAGTTCTACACTGGTACCAGAAACACAAGAGCCTTACATTATATACAAATATTTGAATGTTTCAAGGTTATTTTTTTTAACAGAGGGCCAAGCTTACAAGTTACCATGGGATTGAATCGCAGCTAGAACAGCTTATTGTGCACTTTCAAGGTTACTGGTACTGGCATTATTTTTAACAAAGGAAGGCTTGCTTGAAAAAAAAAACAGAGGTTTAAGGCCCAATGGTCCAATGGTAGTGAGATGAAATGTTCGAGCTTTTGAGTATATCATAAAGGTTTGTGTTTCCTGTGTTCTTGTGAGGGAAAGGACTATTTCCTATTCAGATAAGCCCATACTTGAAAGATTCTTAAAAATCTAGGTTCTTGTGGTCTAAGATACATTATTGTATGTCAATTCCGCACAAGAAACACAAGCATGTTGCAAATGTTTACAAAACACCTAAAATTATACGTTGTCTGTTTCAGCAATCGAAAAGATGATTATCAAGAAATATAACATATCGCCAGACGACTTCCGAGTGATGGAGACTGTGGTACTGAAGGCTGAACCACACAAGGCGGGACAACAGTGGAAGTTCGCTGGTGCCTTCTACTATGCAACTACCGTGCTTACTACAATAGGTAAGGGGGCAGCGCTAAAAAATATGTATTTTGAACGTATGGCCATGGTTGGTTTGTCCTAGGGGCTTGTACGCTGGTTGGTCACTGACAGATGTGCTTGGTGTGTGTGTGTGTGTGTGTGAGAGAGAGAGAGAGTGAGAGGGAGACAGGAAGATTATTTTTGTACAGCTTAAAATGTAAGTTATTTTCTTTTGTTAATGTTTCTGTATCCATGATTTAGATTTTGTCTTTGTTGTATATTAATGTAATTGTTAAAATATATGTGTTATATTTATGACAGGTTAAGTGTAAGAAAGGGCCATGTGGCCCTAACTTTTGCCTGTATAAATAAATAATATTTCATTTCATTTCATTTCATTTTAAGGGGGTCGAGCTACACTGCAAGAGAGTTTAGAACAAAGTGCTATTAAGTGCATAATTAAATAACTTCCTTACCAATACTTCACATGTGTTTTATGCAAATATAATCACATAATCATTTAATATCATATAATAATCATATATCTTATTATTTAATCATATTATGTTGACATTTGAAATTCACAATCATGCACTAGAGATGGTCAGCTGCTGTAGTTTTTACAGACGGGATTTTGAAGCATGATATAAATGATTTACATGTAAAAGGTGAGACAATGTCTCCTATGATAGTTTTTTATATGACCTATACATAAAACATTTTATATTTAAACTGGTGTTAAATATGTATAAAATATCTTGTAACAGCGATCATTTTGATTAAGATTCCATAATTTCCTCTGTTACTTAGTACCGGTACTTCTCACTTATTCTTGGTCCCTTCAACATACTGTAGTTTCAGTCGTTCCAAATGTATTTTTCGTGCTGGGCTTGGGCTTCCTGAACTTATTCGCTTTTTTTATTTTAATGTAGAGTCTCTCCTCCTCTCTCCTATAAATATGACCTGCTTATCTAAGTCGTCTTGATTTTCCTTCTGTAACTGTGTCCACTGTGTTCCAGATTTCTTCTTATCCTGTATTGTTCTTCTTTGACTTCCTCATAATTGCTCTTATTTTATTTGGAATAGTTATTGTTGTTTATTCCTCATTGTCTATAGCTCTGAACCGTTAATTAAGCACAACTGGTCTTTTAATGGCCTTTGGAAATTTATTAATTTAGAGTACAAATTGAACAAAAGGATTAATAAGGAACAGAAATGATTAAAGTTTAAAGTATGAGAAGGATTTTACATGCACATAGGGCACAGATCTTTACAAAATCCTAAAAGTAAAACACTATTAATTTTTATCTATATGAATGAAAATGAATCACTGTTCAACTTAAATGACAGATGGACCTCTCTAAAAAGTTGTGCTTGATTTATGGAAAGCTTAATGTTTCTTTTCAAAGATAGCTAAGGACCAAAATTCTATTTCACTCAAAGCAGAATGCAACATCAGTAAAGTTCTCTATACAGTTTGGCCTGACAGGGGGTTAATTAATCAATCCAGTTTCTTTTCAAGTGATGCATCCGCTTACAAACCCCCATTTCTCCATCCACCCATACCACTTCCATGTACCTCACCCACCACCTTCTGTTTTAACATATTTGTTTATTTATCGGTTTTTCTTAATTTTTTTACACTACTTCACAATGATTTCTCTTACTTAATATATTTTGAAATGGGTGCATTTTTTCTAAAAATTTATGAACATATTGTACCCCTCTATTGAACATTTTTCAAAATTGAGTTTACCTCAGCTTTTGGTTTATACATTATCTAGGAGAAACCTACTTATGAGTGTACTCACCTAATGCAAAGGGAAATCATCTTTCAATTTGTCATTCAAAGGTGGGTTGAATTGAATGTGAAACATATGTGCCCAATGGGTCATACCATAGACGAAAAGAATTAAATATATAGACTGACAGCCGTGCTTCGGTTACTATGGTTATACCATAGGTTCTGGCGAACACCGCTGGGAGCGTCGTGTGGTTACTTAGCGCGTACGTAGTAATAATATGGCACTTCCAGCGGTGTGCGCCAGAACCTATAGTAGCCGCAGCACAGCTGACGGTCTATATTTAATTCTTTTTGTCTATGTTCATACCGCCCTCTAATAAAAATAATTGTTAAACCCTCACTAAGCTTTGCAAGTTTTTATTACAGCTAGGTAGATGAGTGGTTATAGTGCTCGCCTGGTAATACAAAGGACGTCGGTTTAATCCTGGGAAAAGTCAGTAGCTTTTTGATGGTTCGAAACTAGACCCAGATGTCCTGATCGGGCTTTTAACAAATGATGAAACAGCTGTTCTTAGTCAGTAACAAAGCTACACAATGTATCTCACCACATACACTCATCCTCCACTCATATTGAGGTTAAATACGCTCCTATGTTGTGTCCCTACCTCAGTTTAAAATAAGAAAGCTTATCCAATGAATCTGAATAGTTTATTAAGAACAAGTACCAGAGTATACAGCCAGATAATATAATCGTTATCTTTTTATGGAGAAAAATTATTATTATACTTACAGTTTTGTCTGAAATAAGTACCCAACTAACTTAAAAATATGTTACCAGTACTTGTTTGTGTTTCAAAAGCTTCATAAAAGTTTTTGAAAGAAATTTGTACTTTCAAGTTTAATTTGTTCTTTCAATTTGTCACTATCAGACCCCCTAAACAACCTTTAAAGCATTTTATAAACTTTTAGTTGGATAGGACTTATACCTGAACCATTTGAACTAAAACAATATATCTGGATGTTAACCCAAGGCCCCACTAGAAAAACAGGCCTTGCTGCAGGATCCATGACGTCACACTAGGGGATGGATTTCATTGATAAATTCATTAGCCATCACAATTCCCATATGTTTTAGGTAAATAAACAGGCTGGTTGTTTGTAAGATTTTAACGGTAAGAGTTTAGTTACTATCCACCACTGTGACGTAGTGTTGCGCTGCCCGTGCTGCAGCATGGCCTGTTTTTTCTATGGGGCCTTGGTTAACCCCCCTCAAAAAATATCTAGATGGATGAGTAACAATTATTTCCAGCAAGGTTTTATATGATTTTAAGTTAAACTACTTCAAAGAGATAAAGGTATATAAAGGATGTTGTTACAATCATACAACCGCGCTAAACAATTATTTACAACTTGCGTTTCTAGCAAATGATAAAAGCGTCCATTCAAAGAACTTGCAACTCACATTACACCAAGGTGTGCGTCCAATGGGCGACAGAGCATGAATCACTAACTTGGCAATCGCAGTATTGGTTTAATTGACCCGTTGTAATGTCATATGACCGCAATATTATCATTCAAATCCGTTTCAAACACTTAATTGTTATCAACCTTAATCAACTGGTGATTTGTCAACAACGTGATTGCCATTAATTAAATTTTTAATTAAAATTACCTTTTTTGCATTTTTATTCTATCTAACTCTTCTTTATTTATTCTGATGTTAATCATCTATTGATTGACTTTTATAACTGAATTGGCTTTTATAGCTGTAGTTCTATTTTAGTGTAGGAATATTTCTCCCGCAAATATGATTCCAAACAATATGATATTGATTACAAGTTTATGAAGTGTTAATTGCCTGGTCATCCTAAATGGTAGTTAAACTGTTTGTAATATTTCTGAAATTCGATTTACCTAATTTGAAAATGTAGAATAGGTTACTATTAACTGAATTTTTATTTAATTATTATTTATTTAGTTGATGGGCTATCTAATTTGAATTGTAGTTAGGTTTGAACAGTAATCAAAAAATGTACAGTAATGTCAAATTTTAAATTATTTTCCATTGCAATGAAATAAACTGCAAGTCTTAAGATATATTTTAATCACTCCTTCTCCCTCTGAACCTAAGAAGGGAGAGTTCAACCTGCCCAGGACTAAAACAGTCATTGGGTATCAGTTGTTATGTTTCCTATAAGACAACAACCCCACCTAAGTGAATATATGAGTGAAAGGAATGAGTTGATCTGTGTATCTTCATTGTTACTGACCAAGATCAGCTATTCTAAGAGATTATTTCCCATCAAATCCATCCAAAGTGTTTGCTGCAGTTCATGCTATGTTTGTCGTTTGTCTGCAGGATACGGACACTCGACGCCCAACACGGTGGGAGGCAAGCTGTTCACCATGTGCTACGCCATCGTCGGCATCCCCCTGGGCCTGGTCATGTTCCAGAGCATCGGAGAACGGCTCAACAAGTTCTCGTCCGTGGTGATCCGCAACGTCAAGAAGCTTCTACGCTGCAAGAACGTGGAAGCGTCCGAGTTGAACCTCATCTGTGTGGTTATGACACTAAGTAGCCTGACGATAGCCGGGGGTGCGGCAGCCTTTAGTCGGTACGAAGGGTGGACTTACTTTGACTCTGTGTACTATTGCTTCATCACCCTGACTACCATCGGGTTCGGCGACATGGTCGCGTTACAAAAAGACAATGCACTGGACAAAAAGCCAGAATATGTGGCCTTTGCGCTAATTTTTATTCTTTTTGGGTTGGCCATCGTGGCCGCTTCGCTCAATTTGCTCGTGTTGCGGTTTGTGACGATGAACACTGAAGACGAACGCCGGGACGAGGCTGAGGCCCTGCAGGTAACTAAAATTTCATTCCTTAACAGTACATATTTGAAATAAATAAAGGGTTTTGGCCAAAGGTACAAAATACCAGCATCAATGAGAAAAAACTTTAAACGGGCAAAACAAATAACATGAATAGTTATTTACGGAGGTACACCCCTTAACAGAACTAAATCCAAAATGGTTAGCCTCACATTGTGTTGTACAGACCATTCAAGTATATAGGAGAAACAATAAAACAGCACTTTTGTACTATGCTATGATAGTTTGATACCTAGGTATAACCACCAAATAATTGGTTCTTCTTTCTGAGGTATACAGTGAATCATGTTGCTAAAAAAAGGAAAGGGGAAATCAAGTATAATTTCATATTGTTCTGCCAATTATTCTATCAAGTTTAAATTCCATTCTGCTTCCAGTGTAATTCATTACCAGTATATATAACAGAAAGCATATGGTACATATGTGAGTAAGTAGTGTAAAATGTGCAAGGTAAATTATCCCTGCATCGCCCAAATTTCCCCCCTCATTTGCTAAATAAATTATCACAAGGTTATCGAGTTAAAAACTACCACAGAACAGAAATGGTGTCTTTGAGTGCATTTACATTACCAACACCCGTAGAAATGTTATAGACTTTCCTTTATTTAATTACTCATCAATTAACACAGCACATTGATTATTGGTTCAAATGTTTATTCATACCAGAATATACATAAAAGGAAAATTTCATTATCGATAAGGAGTTTTCATCATGCTTAATAAACAAGTGAAAACGCAATATTTATTGAAACTGATGTGGTTAAAACAATTCATAAAACCAATGAAAGATCAAATATGGAAATTCTGATTCAACAGTTTTCCCATTGTAGCTGTTTAATTAGAATTGTGCAAATTACGCAGGGAACAAACAAGTAGATATTATTTGACACAATAGTAAAGGTAGCATTCACTGGTGGTTTGTCAATAAACATTCTTCATTGCCTGCCTCGCTAATGAAAGTCTTTGAAACTTATGTTTTTTGTAATTTTTTAAAGATATAGTTTTAAGGATTCAATTGTAAATTATCAATAATTAATTACCATTCCTTAGTTCTTCAAAAATAGCCCAAAACTATTTTGATTAAAATTTGTGTGTTTTAGCCCTTTTAACTCTTAACAGATCGGTACAACCCCCACCGCTGTAAACACTACGGTTAAAAAGTTATTGTAAATTATGTAGTTTTCCCGTAAAACCCAATAGAATAAAGGAAAATTGAATTTTTGAATAGACCCAACCATTTAGATTGAAATTTAGTGTGTGACTATCCTTATGATTCTAAACAATATGGTATTGCTTAAAAATTATGGTTTAAAAGCTTTTGCAACCTTTGTGATTTTCCCCATAAAATATCATAGTCACTCCCCACCGCTTACCCATGATAAAGATTGTTAACGAGCCAATGGGAGAAAGTATGTGTCAGATTTGCTGATGCCGTTTATTTACATACGTATACAGAGAAGGTTTTTTTACTTATGGACTTTGTTACAAACTAAAAAAAATGAAAGGCGTATGACACCAAAGTGCCATCTTCTGTCATAAAATTATTTATACACTTTTTAGCTGACTAAAAGTGTCAAGGTAGAGGAGCGTAAGGTTTGCATATATTTACTTCAGTCAATGTAACAGTTATAAGGATTTTAAATATTTGTATGAGTCTTACGTATCCTTCAATAAACCACACAGTTAACTAAATTTAGTTCAAATGACATGTTTTTTGACACAAAAATAATTTTGACTGGTTAACTCAAATATATTGGGAGAGAAAGAACTTTCTCCGTGTTTTAGATCCTCCTCCACTAAAAGCTAAGGGAAGATAATTTTTATGCCACATCTTTTATCTCTTCTCATCCCTACAATCCAACAAGAGGCTTGCTGCTAATTTGTGCAGAGTATTGTTTGTGGTGGCGTCACTGGGTTGAAGAGCTCTTCGTTGTTGTTACGCTCTTGAATAATTCTCACTCCCAAGTCTCTGTACTCTGTATTTTGCAGATAACACTTAAATGAAATCTGGCTTGTGTGTAAGCAATCGTTTTAGTAATTGAGTTTTATATTAGGCAAATATTCAAGGCCAACATTGTAAGCCAAAAGGATAAAACATAGCCTGAAGTTTTAAAGATGCTAGGATAATATGGTAACCTCATTAATATAGCATATTAAAATTTGTTCTTTGATTTCAGTCTTAAATAAGAATACTATTTTTGTATAGTGTAAAGTTATTGTGTTTCTTGTGCCAGATTAGAACGTGGAATAATTATTATTATATAGGAAGGAGCTAGTACTGTAGTTCAAAAAATTCTGTGTCATGTTTATATGCATAATTCTAGTAATTCATTCTCATGAAACAAAAGGTCCTGGGTATCTAAATGCATACTAGATAAATATTTTTAAATCCACTTCTAAAAACTTCTAAAAAAGTCGCTTACCCCCCTTTAAGTTGATACATTTGATATGATCTACTTTGACAAAAAATATATGGAACGTCATTAATATAATTAGAAATAAAACTTTTTAAAAATGTTCCCTATCGTCCTAAAATTTAGAAAACTCTTAAAATAATTTAAATGGTCAAATAATTCATTATACTTATTAGTTATTGAAACAGTTTTTTTTTTAAATACAGGTAATTTAGAATTGATAGTGATACTAAACATTTATGAGCTATCTGCATGTGAAAAGGAATTTTTAGCATTTTTACTAAATTGTGTGGGTAGCAGATTGTTTATTGAGTTCTCCGCTCTTGATCTAAAGGTTGCTAGTTTAATACCAAATACTGTCCATTCTGAACAGGGCTGCTTTAAAGGGCCTGTTGGGTCCAGTACCCAAGAGGTTTAAGGATTGTTTGGGGGTGCAAAGACAAAAAATCCCCACCAATGAAGGGGACAGAGAATCCATAGTGTGTCAAATGCAAACCGCAGGCATTATTCGGGACCCAGGTGCCTTTTCATTGGTCTATCGATCAATGATATGCTTGGACTCTTCCCTTACACAAAACATTAAAACAAAGGAAAAAATTCTTTGTGATTGTAACCTACTTTAATTCTATGTCTTGCTCTGACCCATGGTTTACGTGAAACACCCTATAGGTCCCGAGATATATTTGCCCTCCTCGTCCCTTTGTTAAAAGGGAATTTTTTCTTCCTTGCACTTGAAACAAACTTAAAACCTCTTTCGCCCCTGGGCCTGGGTCTACTGGGTCCATTCACTAAAGAGGCCCTGCCTTTTAATAATGTTCTCTTGATTTTTGTAGACAATTAATAGATTTTAAGGCAAATCTAAGGAAAATGTTATTTTTTCCCTTTTGAGTTTGTCTATTGTGGTTTGTTATTGCTAAATTACAATAATTATGATTTTTGATGCAATATTCATCCTCTCCTCACCTGCATTATAGGCCTAGTTCAAATATACAGGATGAAGGATTTTTTTTTTTTTTTTTTTTTTTTTTTTTTTTTTTTAGGGTGAGGAGGGAAAATGCTTTTACGCACACAGGTAGCCAGCCTGTAGTGTGAGACTCCTGAGTTTATCACAGACTACTCACTAAAAAACCCCCTCTACTCTGTTGGACACAGACCTGGAATTGTTTGTCACATTACTTCAAGTCAGGCCAACATGTGACCTAAGCCCACAGGGCTCGCACCGTTTCTGGCATTATTTATTTTTTGACCTACACCGCATCCCGGTCGAGGTCAAGCTTCTTGGCGCGGAGAACACCCTGGATGTAAAGTGACACACAGGTCCAATTGTCCTCACCCTCCATCATCATCGGTATGACCGTGTCCACCGACAGCAGTCCTACGAACTGTTGAGCCTCTAGGCGGGGCCTTTCCCAATGCTGGCAGTGGAAGAAAGTGTGTTCCACGTCATCGGGAATGCCTGGGCAGTATATGCAATCGGGTGACACGGCTTTGCCCATCCTGAACAAGTACGACCGGAAAAAGCCGTGACCCGTCAGAAATTGGGTGAGGTAGAAGTTCACCTCTCCGCACCGCCGATTAACCCAAGGTTGGACCTGTTGTATCAGTCGCCTGGTCCAGAGCCCCCTTGTCTCCTGTTCCCAGCTCTCCTGCCACAGCTGGAAGGTCCGGGTGCGTTCCTCAATACTTGCCTGGTCCTCCCCACGGCGCTGATAAATTGCCTTCCTCTCCGCCGCCAAAAGTTTGACGGGGATGACTCCAGCAACCACCAGGACGGCGGGTTCGGACACTGTTCGATAGGCAGATGCTACCCTTAGTGCTGCCTGACGCTGCACTCGGGCGAGCCGCATCCTATATACCTCCTTATTGAGAGCGTCTGCCCAGACCTCCGCACCGTACAGGAGCACTGACTGGACCGCAGACATCAACAGCCTTCTGCGGCTGGACCGTGGACCTCCGACATTGGCCATTAACCGACTAAGGGAAGAAACCATTTTAGCGGCCTTGTCCGCCGTACGGGTGATCTGGTCTCGCCAGCTGAGCTTGCTGTCCACCATGACCCCAAGGTACTTTGCGGCACGAGTGGTTTGGACTTCAACGTTCCCCACCATCAAAGGCACGATGGTGTCAATCCTCTTTTTAGTCAGAATGACAATCTCAGTTTTGCTCAGAGCGAGCGAGAGACCATGTTCTGCCATCCATGCGTTAATGGTTCGCATGACTCGATTTAGTTTCAGCTGGGCAAGCTCAATGCTACGTGCAGCTATTAAAGCCGCAACGTCATCTGCATACCCAACTAGGACGGTTTCCTCAGGCATCTCGGATCTCAAGAGGCTGTCGTAGGCGACGTTCCAGAGGTCCGGGCCCAGTATGGATCCTTGAGCAGCACCAGAAGTTACATCCATCGTCCTGGAGCCTTCTGTAGTGTCGTAAATGATGAGGCGGTACCGGAGGTAGTCCTCTATCATGCGCATGAGGTATGCCGGGACGTGGAAAGTGTTCTCCAGTGCGTCGAGCATATCGCACCACCTCGCGGAATTAAATGCGTTTCGCACATCAAGTGTTACAAGCAGCACAACCCGACGAGAATAGTTGTTAAACTCCTCAGCTCTCATTACGGCTCGCTTTACCTCCTCAATAGCGTCAACCGTTGACCGTCCCTTCCTGAAACCGTACTGACGAGGGGATAGATTCCCTGCAGCAACCACGGCTGAATTCAGTCGGGAACGGATCAACTTTTCCAAGACTTTCCCAGCAGTGTCCAACATACAGAGAGGTCTGTAAGAGGAGGGTAGGTCTGGGTTTCCTTTTCCCTTCCCCACGAGCACAAGCCTAGCTGTTTTCCAGCAGAAGGGAAACTTCCCCTCGGCCAGACAGGCATTGTACGTGCTCAAAAGGATTTGTGGGTTTATTGAAAAGACTTTCTTCAGGGCCTCACCAGGTACCCCATCCGGTCCAGGAGCCTTGTTGTTCTTCAGGGACAGAACGGCCGCCTCCAACTCCTCGAGACTGAAAAGCGGTACGTCGTCCACCCTTCCGAACTCCCGCAATGGACGCAGTGTGTGAGTCGGGAAAAGGGACTTTACGATCCTCTCCATAGAGGCCCCGTCCATAACGGAAGGTGGAGAGCGGGTGCCAAGCTTCTTGGTTACTATCTTGTAACCAAGGCCCCACGGATCGGAATCGACATCGTCCCTTAATTTCTCCCAGCAACTGCGTTTGCTCCGGTTAATGGCCCGGCGAAGAGACTTCCTTGCCACCTTGTAAGCGTCAGACTTAAGACGTCTATCTTCAGGTTCTCTAGCCCTGGTAGCAAGACGTCTGGCTCTCAATGCTGCCCGTCGTAGTTCTGCGATCTCGGTTGTCCACCAGTACACAGGTCGCTTATCGCACCGGGATATCCTGCGAGGCATTGACTCTTCGCAGGCCGAGACTATCAGCCTCATCAATGATGTAACTGATGTCTCTGCGTGAGCCACGCCGGATGCAGCAGGTACCACTGGCTCTCCCCGTAGTATGACTTCGGTGAATTTGGCCACGTCCAGCTTTTTGGTGTTCCACCGAACGGGCACCTGCCGAGACACGGTAGCTTGTCTCTGATGACTATCCATGACATCAAAAATGATGTACTGGTGGTCACTGGCCGTATAATCCTCTAGGACTCTCCAGGCTCGTATCCTCGGCAAGAGGGACTCAGATGCAAGCGTGATGTCTGGGATCGTTCCCCTCATTCCGGGACGCTGGAAAGTTGGCGTGTTGCCCTCGTTTATGACAACAAGTCCAGCCCTGGCAGCAAAGTCCAGGATGTACTTCCCCCGGGAATTAGTGAGAGTCATTCCCCACTCGACAGCCCTAGCATTGAAATCCCCCGCCACGACAACGTGCCCGGCGGTATCGCGCACGCTCACAGGATGAAGGATAATTGCCAGCAATAAGTAAAAAGCAAACGAAACATTACTCCAAAACAGAAGGACTTTCGTGAGGCGTATATTGTGTCCATTCTGTTTAGTTTGTATAAGACTCAAATTTACCTCACCAGCTATCCTGAACTTACTTTTACCGTTTTACCTTAATTCAAAGACAATCGCGCAGGTGGGGCTGATGCAACTTGCTATTCATAAAGCCCGGAACTAAAGGAAGCCCACACCTAGAAGTGTTTTTATTTTTTTATTGCAGGATATTTTGATGCGGATCATTGATTGAAAACTAATTAATTGTCTCAGCTGAAGGGTTACTGCTAACACGTACAAATCTGAGAATTGCTGTTACGATTCCAAGCAAGGACGATTATGGCCCAGATGCCATATATGTCATTGTGCTACCAATTAATGGTGCTATCTAAGTAAAAGTCGATGTTAGATAGTAAAATAGCCAGCGTTAGGTCCCAAATGTAATTGGTGTAAGGTGTAACCATGTAATTGTATAACAAATAATTGTAACCAGATTCTAGTCTGCAGCCTGAAATGTTGATTTGACACAATGTTAGAGTTCTTAACAAGTAATAAAGGATGACATATGCATAATTTTAGATTGTTGATTTTAGTTATCTTTGTTCGGTTTAGGTCTGTAATAAGTTTATTTTGTATGGTATTAACTTATGAGAAATAAAAGTTATTATCAATTTAATCCAAATTAATAGTTTCTAACGTAGTGTGATGTGACAGGCGGCCCAGGGGGCAGTGCGCCTGGAGGGGGACGTGATCACTGCCAACGGGTCCATTCTCAGCGGGCAGATAGGAGAGTCGAGCTCACTGGACGAGACAGCGTCCGTGTGCAGTTGCAGCTGCGGGTGGCAGGGTCGTCAACACCACTACTCGGTGCGACGGTCGTCGACGCGGCACCAACAAGAGCTGCGACACCAACAGCCGCTGCTGCCACTGGCACCGCTGCGACCCCTCCCCCCCGCCAGCAGACTACACCGTGCCTCCATCTGACTGGCCATACACTCTCGTCGACTCAGTAATTTAGGTTAGGTCGGATAACTTTTTAAAATAATAATAATAATTAACTAATAATATTTTTGACGCTTTATACTATTCTAATAAGTTGGTGGCGGTTTGGTGTCGAGTGCCGGGGTGGTGTGTGTTATGGTGTTGGCCGGTCGCGATCCGTCCACGCAAACATGGACCAATTAAAAGACAATAGTTTTAATTAACAAGGTTGTGAGTTAGCTGTGTCGATTAGTTTCGTTAAGAAACATCTTTTTTTTCATCTCGTGTTTAAAGTTTGGTTTTCAATTTTAGTGGCAAAGGGATAAAAAGGTAATGTTGGATGTGAGATTTTCATTTTAATTAGAAGATTTACAATTTTATTTCTAACAATCTGTTCTTATACTAATCACAGAAACAGCAATAAAAATGAATTGTAAGGATGAATATTAATCAAAAACGTTTCCATATACAATTTTTTTCATGACCTTTGGACATTTATTTAATAAACCAATAATTGATTAGTAAACAAATTTAACCTTACCACAATCAAACAGCTATTGGCAACCTGTAAAAAAAAAACAAGTGTGAAAGAAAGAGGTGTTAAGAATTAATAGTTTAACCTAACATTCACTTAGCTAAACATTAAACCATAATTTTTAAAATAACAATTAGGAAGTTTTTAATAAATCAATGTGAATCCTGATGTAATTTTACTACATAAGGGACAAAATATTGCTTGTGTTAAGTGCTGGTGACTTGCAGGCAGAGGCCGCACCATAGCATGCACTGGAACCACCTGCACAATTGCGTAACTTTGATCTTATTCAGTTTACAATTCTAGGCAATACGATAGGCCTTAATGCTTAGTGTGTATAATTTGATTGTGTATTAATATTTTTTAATTTTTATCGCAAACTTATATCGAACTATGTGCAACATTCCGTTTTTACTATTGTTCATAACGAATAAATAAACTTAAATAAAACCGTGTAAATACAATGTACAAATTGAAAATATTACCAAAATGTGAATTCTATTTTGTTAACGTATGAAATGTTTGTTGTTAAGATTTTTATGTGAGCGAGTGTTTACGTTTGATTCCGTTTCGACCTTATCTCCTCTGCGACCCACTCAGACTTTCTAAACAAATCTATCGGTGGACCACACATAAGTCGATTTTTCTACGTGAATTGTGCAAATAATTTAGGTCGTACCGCTTTAGATGTAATTACGTGTCGGTTAGAGTGGTGTTCCTAAATTAACTTGGTTGTAAAATGGTTGCCTTTCGCATGCATATGTTACTCTGTGGACTGATAACAGCTTTTCTTCATGTATTTTTCAAGTTATGTGACATCCGCAAACGTATTCATCCTCCATCGAAACACAACTTCAGTTTCTGTAGATGAAATGCCACAAGACTTCCACAGTGAACTTCCATTCGTTTTTCAAGTTATCACTAGTATTGAACTGATATGAGAAAAACAAGCCAAATTTAATGTTCTTCCTTTATAAAAGAGCTAAAATCATGTATATGGACTTTGATACTAGCATTTTTGGATTGTTAGAAAGATGTGCAGTGTATAATTCCTCAACATTAGACATATTTTGGTTTTCACACATATCAAGTGTGTATTGCACGATTGCTCTGACTGCTTGGCAAGATAAACAATAGATAAGAATTGGACTTAAAAACATTTTCAAATACTCATAATTTAAAAAATTGTATTTCTTTAGAAGGACGCAAATCTAACCGAATAATTTATCGTGATAAGGTTGAGGAACTATAATGTATTGTATTTTATTCAAGAGTCTAATTCAAGTTCTAGCTGCTTTTCAAAATTGTATCAGTCATATTGTAGACAGATTTACACTATATGTTTCTAGATTTGTTTTACTTGAACTTTATCACAGATTTTATTGCAATGTTGAGTTATGTATCAAAATTTTGTCTTGGAATGTTAGTGAAGTGTTTGTTAATGTACATTCAGATGATTATAGTGAGTAGATTTGACTAATTTAAATCACTGTCAGAACTAACATTTCCAGTTAAATATCACAACTTAAACTCTATGCAATTAAAAAACATAGACTGTACATATAAAAACAAGTGATAAATTAATTTTAAGCTATTATATGTACAATAAAAAAGAAACATATATACTCAACATTTCACTTTTGTTAGAACTTATGACGATTCAATAGCATTTTATTTATTCAGGTTTTTAGAATAGACCATAGTTCAACTTTGAAATAGTTTTAGAGAACACAAAATGTATTATTTTGCAGGGAACTACCTATATGTTTAACAAAGTTTTGGATGCATTTTTTCATCCAAAGAGTGATTTTGAATTGACTTTATCGATAGTAACAAATTGAGTTTTGTTTATCCAAAGTAAGATCAAGAACAAATGTGAAATGTATTTGAACTTAAAATAATTTTTGCGATTTTTGCTTAAAAAGCTTAGCATAGAAAAATGGAAATATACATTAACATATTTAATACTTAGAATATGATTTTCTTTTAAACATTCCTCATGAGCATTTAATGCAGATTTAAAAGCAAACTAAAGTACTTTTCACTTAACAAAGTACTTCATGTTGGGAAGCTACACTTTAGTGTACAATTGTTGTGGAAATCGACAATGTTAGTCGAAGGAATCTTGTGATTTGGGAAAAATAATTTACTTCGGTTACCATTCCTGTGATTTTTATTTGATTGTGTGTGTACTACGACTAAAGAGTGTTGAAGCACATAATAGAATAACAATGTCTGATATCTTTGACTACTTTAGGGCTTAAATAATTAATTGTTAACCTTTAAAGACATATCTGTTAACGCTAATTGAAAGCATCTGTTATGCAACCATGGTACAGAATTCCACTAACAGGTAATTACATAATTATTTATAAAAAATAAAGATTTTTAATATTTCTTATAGAATTCTGGCATATAATTGAATTCAATAATTGAAATAAAGCGGTTTTGTGGTTTGATAAACTGTTATTTTAATCAAAATTGTCAATTCTTTCCTGAACATAAAAGCTATCAGATAGGTAGGATATTTTATTACAGAAAGTAAAGTATTCTAAATAACTTATTTTTTATTTATTTAAACTTATTATTGAGGAATATTTAATTGAGTGGCTGTAGAAGCTCCCCAAAACTATTATTTTATGAAGGATTTTCTTGAAGAAGCCCTGAAACTTCTTTCAGTCCATTTTACAACCTAACAAAACTCTATACCCTACATTCCTCAAGCACAATACTGAAATAGTTCAGAGAATAAAGTTCAATCATAAAGTTTATTGGTTGACTCACATTCCAACTAGTTTACAAATTTCAAAATGAATTGCTGGTAATTTTATTTTTATTTCATTGGTAGAATATTATTTGATTTACTCTTTATAGGTAAAACCAATGAAAAAAAAATTGATTGATTAATTATGGAATGACTGGAATGCTTTTGGCTTTTGCTGGCTATAAAAGAAAATAGTTCATGGAATTTCACTAAACTATTTAAGTTCTGTGACAGTTGTACCATAGCTGACATATTCTAGGATGTACACTTTATCATAACAAATTCAATAAAATGCAAGACTATTAAAATCATACTTTTGTACCCAAATTCAAGTTAAAGCAATCTAAACTCTCCTTTCCATTCTGTTTTTATTTCTTCTCTAAAATATGATTTTTTTATTCTATCCATGTGGTAAAAAAATTAATTTAAAGGAGTAAACAGTGTAACATAATGTTACAAGAATTACAGTAGGGCTGAAACAGAAATTTAAGAGAATTGTAAGAACTTTAAGTGTCTTTGAAGCAAAAATACTGAGTAAAAATGTTTGGTCACCTAGGTTAGGTTAGACAAGTTTCTTATGCTCAAATTACTTTTGATTAAATAGTAGTTTTAGCTTTTTGTTCAAGGTCAATAGCTCTAATCACAAATTCTAAATACTTCATCAAACCAATAATTTTGTGTACTTAACAGTGATGTACATTTCAAAATAATTCAACCTGTAGCATTGATATAGAAGGTTGTACAAAACTTGTCAAAGGAGCTAAAAACAAAACCACAGCTTGTATTGTCTTTCAAAGATATTTGGTTTGTAAGTAAAACCAAATTTGTTGCATGTTATATAATATTTGATTATAACAGTTAATATACTACGTTAGATTTTTCATGATAAAATGCATAAATATCTACAAATTTTGATACCTTAAGGATTGTAGGTAGTGATTCGTATTTTGACTCGAGTAGCCGGCTTGGCATAGGATGTCAAACAGTCCGCTTCGCTAGTCAGCTTAAATACTTTTCAATAAATTGCAACTTTGTTTCGATAAAGCACTCTTCTTGCTATTTAATTTTATCATAAACTGTTAACTAACATCTTCCCACAAATTTGAAAACGGGTGAAATCGTAGTTGATAAAATTTATGGTGGATATGTATGTTTTGAATGAACTTAAAAGTTTTAAAATGTTCGACCAATAGGGATCTGACAAAATAAAGCTGTTCTTTTTTAACTTCAAAGATCTTTGGGTTTTATTAATACCTATTCCTAAAAAAGATCTAAGTACCGTACAGTAGCTAAGCTAAGTGTTATTCAGAAGGAATGATCCAAGATCTAGTTTATGAAGAGAACAAAAAAGCAAATGGTGATCGAAGAGCAACAGTGCACCACATTATAATGTGAAATGAAATCAGCTTAAAACTGGTAATATTTCGGGATGGATAGTCTAAAAGCAAAGCACGATGCAGAATAGATTATAATGAATCAACATGCAGAAGTTCAATTTATGTAAGAAAATGTTTGTTTCATGACATCTAATTTAACAATGAAAATATAATCAACTGTTTTAACTTGCTTTTAGTTTACTTTTCTTTGCTTCTAGTTTTCCATTTAGCGACTACTAGTGTTTCTTTATAAAATATTTCTTATCAGCTTTTTCAACCAGTTAAGATATGACAATAAAAATGAGACTTCTGCATCTTCGTGATGAATTGCTCTGAATATTCCTGCACTCGGCTT